ACTTCATTTTTTAAGGAAAAATATATTCAAATTGAAGTGCGAGAGTGTAATTTCCGACCATCTAGGATGCCCTAGTAATAAATTTTCTTACCTCAGCCCGGGTGGTTCCTCGGTTTGTGAAAGTCCCTCCCTGGTTCACCTCTCTTTCGAATTCCTGTAGGGCCTATCTGTCACTGTTGATTTATTATATAATTATTTTTGCGCTTATTTATAATGCGTCTATTGCAATTTTCAATTTATCCTCTCAAACAGTCCTAAGAACGTTCAGAGTGCGCTACTTCACAGGGGGATTCGCCTCCTTGACCCCGCCGGGGTCCTACGTAATTTGCATAACGGCTCCCCCCCCCCTTTCAAAATCCTGGCTACGTCCCTGCAATCACATGCTCATCAATGTATACACTGTACCACCAAATGATAATGATAATCTCACACATTAGTAGTCCACGCGTAGAGAACGCAGCAACAGCCTGCGTAGTACAGTAGGCCTAGAGTACTGTACTAGGAACTACTGTAGGCCTAGTCCTCCTAGGCTAGCGTGATACGGTACGGTAGTAGTGACTTGCTAAGCCTAGACTCTAGGCATAAGACTCTGACCACTACACACTTGCCTGTAGTAGTTTGGGAAAATGATGATTGATGATATAATGATGATGTTTCGTTATTCGTCATAAATATTAGGTTCTCTTCGAGAGTCAATACCTGTTTGTCTTCATTGCACACACATCTACTAAATTATGTGGACTGATCATCGTTATTCCACACATAAGGAGGGTCCATACTCGACTCGCAAATATTTTTCATCGGAGCTTATGCCCATCAGAGCGATTATGTTTTTACGTCACCGTGGGCTTCCTATGTTCTGATTGGCTACAAGAAATCTATATTGCTTATGTGTACTGCAGAAAAAAAAGAAAAAAAAAAACGCCCGGAAGGACACACACACACACCACAGATAGACAGACACACCCACAGCCCGACACATTCACAGACAGACGCGCGCTACTGCAATACCATTCGCCCCTCTCTTTCGGAGAAGTGAGGGTAATAATAACAAATATTAACTATGATAATATTATTGTTATTATTAATGTTAGGATTATTATTATTATTATGATAATGATCTGGCGACGATAATAATAACAACATATTGATTGATTATTCAAGGCCGAGTGTGAGACGACACCGTCACATTCGATGGTGATGTTACCCTCATATTTGTATATATTACTGCTAATTGGCCTACTTACTTATAACAAGTACAGGTGTCGCGGTGATGAGTACATTGAATTTAACTCCGAAATAGGCCATGAGTCCGATAGTTGACAGTGTTGCTAAGCCGGCTGACACGACACCCAATAGTGCTAATACAGGCTTGTTTTGAGCACAGTCAAGCTTTGTGCTACTTACTACCGAAAATGTCACTAAAATTAGGACACATAATACAATTTGTGGATTTGTCTCTATCCTAGCCACATCAAGTGCCCTTGATAATGACGACGAAATAGCACCGTAAGCGATAATTTCTTTCAATTTTAGATTTTCCACATAGGTTAAGAAATTCTCTTCCCATTCAAGGCTACTAGATTCATCAGACAGCGGATAAAACAGCCTTACAGCCACCGCTTTCTTGAGAATTATTCCATTTTCAAGATCTACGCCTCCTAAAGATGATCCAATAAAATAAGGTTTACTATTATCAAGAATGACAGTCGGATACGTTATGACCACATCATTATGGGTGTTGTTTAAAAATTTGAAAACTTCAATTATTTCGTTGGAGGGACAACGTTCATAAAACTTTAAACAGATTGATTCGTACGTTTTGTTGTTTTTACTCCGAACTAATGCTTTAATCCCCTGATCTATCCTTAAAATCTCTCGTCTAGCTTTGTTTGCAGTAATACTTTTACTTGAATCTTTGATAACCAGAATAATACTAGCGCTTGGAGTAGTCCTTGTTAGCCGGTTAGCCAACGTTCCGTTTACGACTGTAGCATTAAATAATGTCTCCTCCATCTCCCGCTCCAATTTGCCATTGCTCTGATTGGGAGTAAACAGTCGCTCAGCATCTCTTTCAACTTCGAGGAGTGCAACCCCAGCCCCAAGAATGGCAGTTATTACGACAGAAACAGCCAAGACCAATAATGGATGCTTCGCAAGCCAACATCCGTACGACTTGTACAACCGAGCTAGTGGCCTTTCTATACAATCTGCCTTCATGTTGATTCCTTTAAAATCTATATTAAAAAAAAACCACACAAATGTGTATCAATAATCGTGTATGAAGCTATACAATAGTTATGAATATGCATGAGAAGTGACATCATAATGAATTGTAATTTTGGTTTTGGCTGGTAGAGCGTATTCAACAAAGGAGTAAATGGTGCGGCGATGAAGAGCCATCCATGATTCTACATTCCACTAAGGATAGGCCTACTACCTGCGATAAGCTTATAGGCTTATAAATGTATATTATATATGATAGATTTATATAATATAGAAAATTATAATCAGAAGGCATTATGCTATATCGTTATAAATAAGTTATTTTATTAATGAAAGCTATATTAGTTTTCAGTTTCAGTTGTGTGTTATCTATTCGCCTTGCATAATTTAATAGACTACACAGAAAAAGAACAATGACCAGCTTAAAGCTATACTGACTGCGGTGAAATCTGGAAACCAAATTTAAATTCAATCTGAACATTGACTTGCTCATTAATTTTTTAATTTAATTCCAATTCATAATATATTTTTTACTTCAAAAGCAAACATAAAGAGTAACATATACAGGACATACACATCACCTACCGGTAAGCCAATAATCATGATTCACAGAGCTTTTATAAAAATAGAAGGCCTAATTATTATTATTATTATTATTATTATTATTATTATTATTATTATTATTATTATTATTATTATTATTATTATTATTATTATTATTATCATTATTATTATTATTATTATTATTAATATTATTATAACATAATGATTATTATAATTATAATTATGTTAATAACAATGAGTAATGAATAATAGTAATACATTATACAGCTAAACACATACACCTCCGCCCATGCCCATATCCAAAATGATTCTTAAGAGTAAATCAAATTATTAATTATTATTATTATTATTATTATTTTTATCATAACTATTATTATAATAATAATTATTATTATGTTAATATTAACAATGAGTAATGAATATTATTAACACATTATTGTATATACCACTAAACACTACACCTCCGCCCATGCCTACATCTATGATGATTTATAAGAGTAAAACAATGTTTCTTCAAAAATATCACATAACGATACTAAAGCTTACATTTGATTTTGTATACTTTACCATTATTAATTTTATCATTATTATTACTTTTACATAATAATACATACAAGTGACCAGATATTTCTATTGTTTTTAATTTTTAGTATCTTCATTCTTCTTTCTGTCTGTAATTTATCGGCTTATACTTTTATTCTCTTTGTATACAGTTTATGTACATTGCACATTTCCTTATAATATATAATGTGCTCATTTTTATGCACCTGTATAAGCCGCGTCTTATTTGTATATTTTCCTCCGGTTTTCCCCATTTTATTCCTCTCCCCCTTCTTCATCAACTTAGCTCTATAGCCTATTTCAGAATAATGCGAAATAGAAATAACGGATACAGCAATGCGTGGAGATTATTGTGATGCCTTATGATAATGTAAAATTTACGATATCATTGATCCAACATGGTTTCCGGAAATCAGTCCATCTAAACCTACTCTATATAATTATGTCAGTGACGTAAAAACAAATAAAGCAAAATTATATATATATGTATATATAATATATATATATATATACATATATATGTATATATATATATATTATAATAATAATTCTGTTGATAGGCCTATGATGGTGATGATGGTGGTGGTAGTAGTGCTGTTGATAATTACCGGTATTAATAATGATGATGCTGATAATAACTAATCAAGGTAACATTGTGACTGTGATCGTATTGATGATGACGATGCCGATGATGAATTTTTATGAATATAAAGTTAAAATACACAGGCCTATAATATTGTTTCCATTGGCGTAAGTGATGAAACCAATGGTATCGACAATATGCACATGCCTATCTAAAAAAATTGATTGATAACACTATTCTCCGCACTATTCATGATAGTATGACGGCAAAAATGATAATTATGATCGTCTATATTCAATCATGCTATTAACAGACCTGAAGTTAAGAACGCCAAGGAAACTCAAGTTGTAAATTTGCTTATTAAGGGATGGATTGTTCCAGCAAAGCTTCCTTAATTTTGAGTTTATAAGCTGAATCTGCAGAGTCAAGAACGGTGAAACATCTCTCATTAGCAAGATCCCGACAGCGTTCTGAAACCTGCAAATGTTGAAAAATATGAGAATTCCCGTCCCTGAAGTGTTCGTGCACTCGTGTTGAAAGTCTTCTATTGGTTTCTCCAAAATATGTGGAATTACATCCCACACAAGTAAATTTGTATACAACACAAGCACGGAACATTTTGGGAACGGGGTCCTTCACTCCTAGAAAATTAGAAATTTTGAACAATTTAAAAGCCAGCTTAATTGCTATTCCATGACAATATTTCCTAGTAATTTTGTTGAATCTGCTTTGTGTATTACGTGCAAACTGTAAATATGGCAATTTAAAATAGCAAACATTAACATTAACATTATCATTGTCCCTGTCTCTTATACACATCTAGATGTGTATAAGAGACAGTAATAGCACAGTAGGCATAATGATGTTTGTTACTATAACAAGGTAGGCCCTTACCTTATTCCATATATTAAAGAAATTCGCTACATAGTTTCATTTGTAGAAGTTATGTTTGATTTATTAATTTGATAACACTTTTGATCAAAACAATTTACAATACTTAACAGTGCATCCTATAGGCCCTATCCTCTATAAAAAGAAATAAAGAATACATACGGACAGGATAGCCCTAAAGTACACCATAATACATACGCATACAATCATCAACACTCATACAAAAATAACGAAGGCACTGGTGATCATGCGCAGTGACTGGTATCGCATCAGCTATAAAGTACAGTCAGACCCTGACTGTGGTGCAGTACTTCATTATAATATTTACAATGGTGGTCAATCCAAGGACTTTTGGTTAACCGGAGTACACACAAAAGAGAGCGACCAGTTCTGATTGAAAATTATGAGATGATTTATTAAAGGTAGTAAAAAGGCCAAGGTAGCAACTACAAACTACCAGTTAGTTTACAGTAAGAGAATTTTTTTTTTCATTATGTATTGTGCTTATATATTTTACATTATATTATATAACAGTCTCTATCGCAATCACATGCCGTTTACGGGACGGATCCTCCTAATGATCAAACGACATCAGTAGTGGATCCAGAGCTTAAGTCTGACAACTGAAATTGTTGTTGTTCAACATGACTAGCATTACCTGAAACCCAAAAGACAAAAAGTGGGAGCTTTGGGTTTTCAATTAAACGACATGGTCTGTTTTTTGTTTTTTTTTTGTATTTCTCATATGAACTTCAAGTTAACCATTACAGGAGATTCAAGAGCACTTTTATTGTCCCATTTAAAAAAAGGAATTTTGTTTTTCCTTTGCAACATGTTGGTTAAAAAGCATAAAATTACATGAAAAATCACAAGAAAAAAGCAACTTGATAGTGACGAGAAATACGTTAATATATTAACAAGTTAAAATAGTAAAGTAGAAAAAAGTCATAATAAAAATTTACTGTTTAAAACTTACTATGTGTACCTCCTCAGAGACAGACTAGTAATTTTAGCAAAGATTAAAACTTCGAACTTTGAACTATTCTGTTCACAAGCTTGACAGAGTATTAATTTATAGAGGAATACAGACTCTTCACATTCAAATTAGGAGTACAATAACAAAGATTTTATTTGTTACAGTTGAATACCTGCATTAGTAAGACATGAGTCGACGTGACCTGGGTGATACTATTCATATTTAGAACTGTAGGCCTACAAAGAAAGGGTACTGGGAACTTAATTACCACTACTATTACAGGCCTAGTACCATTTAACCCTCTGCATTTTAACTACGGTTTTAATCCATTTAACCTCTCTTGTTCTTTATACAATTCTTAATTTGTTATCTTATCCTGAATTTTAATTCATAGTAAGAGTAAACATTATTGTGTACACAATAATCTCATTTTGTTAAAAAAAAGAAAACAAAAAAGAAGATGTATTGTACCTGTATATCTACGAATTCGAGTCAACTCGACCCCAAGTCAACTCGGCCCCAGTCAACTCGGCCCCAAGTCATTGGCCTCAAGTCAACTCAGCCCTCTCTTAACTCGGTTCCCCCCCCACCCCAGTCAACTCGGCCCCAAGTAGTCAACTCATCCCCAATTTACTGTGAAATTTATTAAATAATTACCAAAATATATTTGAATGCAAAGCCATAATTAAAGTGTTTTAAATCGTTGCCTTTGTTATTTCTTTTTCATTTACATCCACAACATTAATTAAAACTGTATTAATAAAAATAATATTAAAATAACATTAATAATAGCAATATAAAAAGGTATATAACTGATGATAATAACGACATGACAGTAATAACGACATAATGACAATACTTAATGCGTTGACCTGCTTCCATATCTACCACCTCGTTATTAAGTAAAATTTAGGCCAATAAACTATAATTTTTTTGCTTAATTTTTAGATTTCTTACGTTGTATATATTACTTAAATAAGCTCTCAATCATGGTGTTCATACAATATAATTATCTCCCCCTAAATTATTGAAAAATAAAAATAATATTGAAATTTATGTCCGAGATTCGACGACGGCGGAACGTTTTTGAAGTGCGCGGGGAGGGGGGATGTCATAAGGTCCAGTATGCAAGTGAAGCGAGCATCTAGGTTGGGTGCCAGGGGGCCGCCAAGCTACTGGTGGGGTTCCAGGGGGCGAAACCCCTGGAAGTTACGGATATTTGACGAAGTTTGGTGAGTTATTTTATAGGCATCAAGCTACTGACGTAATATGACTTCATAATTGTTGTAATTTCCAGTGGCGGATCCATGAATTCAAAATAGAGGAGGCCCGGGGAGTAAAGTAGCAGTGGCGGATCCAGGAATTCAAAATAGACGGGGCTTGGGAGGATCTACACCACCTCAGTCCCACCATGGGTGGGGCTGAGGTAAGAAAGGTTATGATTTTGCACCTCTAGATGGCCAGAAATTGCACTTCAAGACTTAAAATTTGAACATCATCTTCTTATATCTCAATTTTAATAAAATCTCTGAACAATTTAGAGGAGAGAGGTGAGCCGGCTGGGCCCCCTGTAATCTGCCACTAGGTGCTTTTACAGATGGAGGAACTACGGTATACCACCTCAGGCCACCATGATTGGGCTAAGGTAAGAAAATTTATGATTATGGCACCACTAGATGACCAGAAATTGCACTCTCAGACTTAAAACTTTAATATAATTTTTTTTATACCTCCATTAAAAAAAAAAAATCAGCAATTTAGGTACAGCCCGGGCCGGCGCCTCCTCCCACCCCCACATTTGAATCCGCCATTGATTTCCGAACAAAGTCGAAGTCGAGATGTTTACACTATCCCAATGAATTAGTTATCATGAGGGTATCCTTGATATGGGTATTCCCGACTAAATCTTCATCTTTCCCCCGATGGATAAAAATGACCCTTCTATAGTACCCCGGAAATGATACTCCAACTGTGGCGGGTCCAGGAAGTGGAAATAGAGGGGACCCAGGGAGGGTCTTGCGCAAATAGAGTCTGTCCATCCACGTCAGTCCCACAGCGGTTGGAGCTGAGGTAAGAAAAAATATGATTATGGCACTTCTGATTGGCCGGAAATGACACTCTCAGATTAAAAGTTAAATACAATTTTGTACTTTTTATCAATTTTGTTTTATATAATTTTGAAAAAATTAACCGGTTGGTGGTCCGTGCTGGCTGGGCTCCACCTTGAATCTGCCACTGTTCAATACAATCGTAATGTATGGCTCAGTTTGTTTTGTTTTTGTTTTTGTTTTTTTGGTTCAGCCTTTTGCAAGCTCTATAAAGTTTTGTTTTAATACTACAGTACTACTAGTAGTAATATTAATAATAATTATGATGGTGATGATGATGACGATGGTGATAATAGATAATAATATTATTAATATTAAAAAGTGAACTAAAAAACTTCAGAGCGCGCTACTCTCCCCACGGGGTCCTACGTACCTTGCATAACGGCTCCTCCCTTTCGAAATTCTGGCTTCGTCCCTGACAGACGTCTATCAACATCGGGTTGCTCAACTCAAAAAGGGAACTTGTAATGTTCGTTTAAAAATGTATAGATAAAAAAATCGCTGAGCGGACCACTTGCAAAATGCTTCTGACAGTCATAAAATAAACCTGGTAACTTTAGTTTTAATTGACCACATTTAATTTTAGTCGCCTTTTGTCAAATAGATATGCATCCATCAATTGATCATATTGCTTTAAACATTATCATAACAGGCCTATACGGTATTGTTTTCATTGGCCAAGAGGCTTTATATAAAAATCAAGAATATTTATTTGGATCTTGAAAAGAAGGACAAGATAGATAGAATTTTATTACATATCGAACTCTCCTCCGACGTAAAGCGCTTCACACATTTTGCATAATAATTATAATACAGTAGAATAATAATAAGATCGACCCTTTATTCAATAATTGAATTATCATCTTGTTTTGCATTTATTGTATATAATTATTGTAAATATGTTGTTGATGAGGATTTTCCCCCAGTGGCGGCGCTACGGGGGGGGGGGGGCTAGGCAGGGCCACAGTCCCCCTCCCACCCCGTCGGGGAGAAAAACCACAATTCGTCGGGGAGAAAAAAAAATTGAAAAAAATTATATGTATTCTGTGCATATTAATAGACTCTAAAATCCATTACCGGAAATAAGCCTTTGAAACCCCTAAATTGTCATATTTTCGGGAGGCTATTGGACCACTTTCGAAAGGTTTTTAGCGACGCCCGACCACGCCCACTTTTTTTCTCGTTGGGGACATCAGCTTTCCCGGCGGGGACCTTGGCCCCGTCGGGGAAATCCGCCGCCACCGATTTGCCCTTGATGGCACTAAAATTGAATTGAATTGACTGCATATGTTAGGAGGAGGTCCAAATTGTCTTATATTTAGCATTTTCAAGACTCTAGTTTCATAATTAAAGGAATTCTTATTTTGGTAAAAATATTTAATAAGTACAATTTTCATTTATGAACAGAGAATGAATTTTCGTGGCACTAAACAGGCATCGAGATGGATATTTATCATATTAGTATCTTGGGGACTCGTTTTTGGAGTTTATCATTTTAATATTATAAACAACATATATTTGCACTATACCTACTATCGCCAACGTGAGGTACTTTGGAATGACAATAGGTAAGAGGTCTGTCAAACATTATGGATACAATGAAAATGTCTAGGTCTATTTTTTGATTAATTTTATTGTTATTAATATTTATATTTCAATTACTGTTAATTACCGTTGCTTAGTAATACTATTAAATATTGAATATTAGGCCCTATTACTTTTTATATTGCATTGTTTTCAATGCTCGTTTTGTAATTTGTGTTATTTTCAAATTCCTAGAAATGCTGTTTCAGATTTTAAACCGGAGAGGAATCGTTCATCAACTCTCCCACTGAAAAATACTTTGACGAGGTATGAATTGTTCCATACTTTAATTTAGTCGCCCCAGTTGATAATGATGGCTAAAAGTTTCTCCAGCATGTTTTATCTTTATTATTGTTTTTATCTCCTGATGTTTTCTATTTATATGTGTCATTTTAGTATACCAATGCAATGTAGTTGACAGTTAGTCCTATTATAAGCTGTGTGTTGGTTCTCAAAAGATAGCGTACTTCTAGACCTCCTTCGTTTTTGCTTCATGGCAGTGTCCAGCAAAAAATTTAGTACCGCCATCTGATTGAGCCTGCATTTCTCTACAGATAATTTCGTTTAAAACATGGTACTTGCCATAGAATATTGATAGCTGTTTGTACTTCATAATATGTCTTAACCACCTGACACGAACCCATCAGAGCACTCAAGAATCTTAAAATTGTGTATATTTCAGTGGACTGAAAGGAAGTGACGTCAAGGCCGACCTCCTATCCCCTCTTCATATGCATATTAATCTGGAGGCAGCGTCAATAGTTAGGTAAGTTTATCAACCGAAAATATCCTTCCTCTATAGTTTGTCCAAACAATTTCAACTAAGAAAAAAATTTAAAAAAACTATAAACTAGGCCTATATATGTTTGGGAATTTTATAGTGAATAAAACCGAAGTCTTTATAATCATCTGAAAGTCTATTTCAATGACAAAACTCAATTCGTCAAAGAAAAGATGAGTTTCATCAGCCTAAGAAAAGAAATACGGTACGAAGTTCAGTTATTAGTATCAAACAACGAGTCAAATCTCCAAATCTTAAAATACAGTCCGATCCATCACCGTTGTTTGAAAAAAGAGTCTAATGTATATATTTTGGGAGGAGAGTGCCTATTTTCAGACAATATTGTTTATCTGAAGATCTTACATTTTTCTATTACTAGTGTTTTTAGTGTATTATTTGTCAATATGTTACCAGTTTTACTAATTTCCACTGCCTATTTCCAGGTTTCTCCCTGGCTTAACTTAATATCATGACGTTTATTGTATATGACCTTGACCTATGCAATAAACCAACAACCGTCCGTAGTCTAGCGACATGACGCTCGTCTTTAAAACCAGCGGTCAGAGGTTCGAATCATACAACTGATAAGAAGCATATTGTTAAAGCGCTTGCTTGATGGAATGCCCATTAGTTGTTCCTGTATTGACCGCTAACATTTTGTTATATATAATAACAATATAAACAAATAGAAAAATAATAATAACAATGCTCGAATAGGTCTAGAGTTTATCTTTATTATATCATGAGATGTGTATAAGAGACAGATTTAGAGGAGAGAGGTGAGCCGGCTGGGCCCCCTGTAATCTGCCACTAGGTGCTTTTACAGATGGAGGAACTACGGTATACCACCTCAGGCCACCATGATTGGGCTAAGGTAAGAAAATTTATGATTATGGCACCACTAGATGACCAGAAATTGCACTCTCAGACTTAAAACTTTAATATAATTTTTTTTATACCTCCATTAAAAAAAAAAAATCAGCAATTTAGGTACAGCCCGGGCCGGCGCCTCCTCCCACCCCCACATTTGAATCCGCCATTGATTTCCGAACAAAGTCGAAGTCGAGATGTTTACACTATCCCAATGAATTAGTTATCATGAGGGTATCCTTGATATGGGTATTCCCGACTAAATCTTCATCTTTCCCCCGATGGATAAAAATGACCCTTCTATAGTACCCCGGAAATGATACTCCAACTTTGGCGGGTCCAGGAAGTGGAAATAGAGGTATTTATTTATTTACATATATATACATATATAATGTAACATATAAAGAAATAAACTTTAAAACGTATTGCGGTAATTGTTTATAAATATATAAATTGTGAACTAAAAAGATGAATAATTGAAGATGATAGTAGTATTAAAAATAGGCCTATTTGAAAAAAAAACTTGTCTCTATCAGGATTCGAACCCAAGCACTCTACCAACTAAGCTGTGAGGTCAAGTAATAGTACCTTTGTTATGGGGGAAACCACTTGTGCTAATTAAAGATGATAACTATTTGAAAAAAATGTATATCCCTATCGGGATTCGAACCCAAGACCTTCCGATTACTATTCGGATACTCTGCCAACTCAGCTACGATGCTAACTGGTATATATTATTGGGTTTTCTATTAGGAGACGGTTTTTTCAGGTTATTACGTAATACGCAATAGTAAATCACATGATAGTAACTTTGGTATGGCGCAACACCAGCACTTTTTCATTATATTCTATAATTATTTTAGTTAAACATGGAATTAAAACTGTTTTTCTTTTTGTCGGCAGTTGTATGTTTCTGTACTTAAGTAGGGACCAAAATAACATGAAAAACTCCACCATTGGCCCAGGTTAATCCTGGGCGTAGAAAATCACCCTTAGGGGTAATACCCCAGCCAACAATCGACAAAACTGAAGATTCATAAAGAAAAAAAGGCGAACATAGGTATAGAACCCCGGCTGGTGGTGGTAGTCAAGGCAAAGTCGTCGGAAGCATTATGGAAGTGGTCCGGCCAGCGATTTTTTGTTGTTGTTGATAGCATTGTCACCAGCGGTGCAAATCGAATTATGCCAGAGGTTGATGGGAAAAGAAATTCAATTGTTAAAATGTTAGTAGTCAAAATTGTATGAGTATACCATCTCTAGGTGTTCGGAACTGGCACTCCCAGCCATAATTTTTAATGTAATTTTTCCCCCGATATTATTTTTTTTAAATATAACTTGATTGCCTGAAAAAACAACAATTAAAATCTTATTTAAATATACAAAGTATACAATTTAAAAAGTAAGCAACAAAAGTGAGTATATTGGCCTATATTTTACGTATTATTGAGATGGTAGTGTTATATCTTTTTTCCTATTTTGACTACAAAGACATTATTTACTGGATATACAATAAAATTTAAATTTCACATTGATTTAACATAAATCACGTAAAACATAATTAACTTTACTTATTATTACGATTAGTAATGTATACTGTGGTAAGCTTACCTATGATTTTACCAAATTATTTGATTTTATTTTATACACAGAGTACAGTACAATATCTGCATTTAGCAGTGGCTTACCGCCGGAGAATTTGGCCCTTTCGTAAACCCGCTGTGACAACCTTGAGCCACCCTGCCCAAAATCATGTAGTTTCTATGCATGCGCTGGAATTTTGCGTCGTATATACGAGATCGAAGTTTGCAAAAAGAAACTCAATATTGGTTTAACATGACATTACAAGACATAGACATGGCTGGCGGAACCGGGGGACCGGGGGGCCCGGCTCCCCCCCCCCCACTTTTTTTGCAAAAAATATATGTCTGGAGATTTTTTTATGACCGGAAAGAAATGCACATGGGCGGCGGAACCGGGGGGCCGGGGGGCCCCGCCCCCCCCCCCCCCCACTTTTTTTGCAAAAAATATATGTCTGGAGATTTTTTTATGACCGGAAAGAAATGCAAGAAATGCAAGAGGGAAGAAGGAGGAGAATGATGGGAAAGAGAATGTAATCCAGTCCCCGACCGAGTTACATTTTCTCGCACTTCACATTGGCGGATCTGGGGGAGGGGTCATGGGTCTTGACCGCTCCCTTGTGCAACAAATAAAAAGAATTCTAGACCTACCTTTTCAGGACCCGTGAGCTGATTTTTTTATTTTTTTTTTTAAATTTTACAATAAGAAAATTATAATTTTGAAGAACATAAAAGTCATTAAAACACATTTCAAATGTCGGAAAAGCTCATTTCCCGCCATCTACGAATCAAAATTTTCCCGGGGGAGAACACCCGGATCACCCTTTCTTTTTGGGATTTACCGATTCATGGAAAAAAAGAATACGCATGCAACTACTCATTTATTTATGTATGTATACACATACCTGACCGTTTTCAAGAGGGGAAAACCTTGAATTTTGAAGAACTTAAAAAGTCATTTAAAAGACATTTCAGAAGTCAGGTAAGCTCATTTCCCGCATTCCAGAAATCGAAATTTTCCCGAGGGAACCCGGACCACCTTCTTCTTTGGTTTTCATTGAATCATTTTCAAGAGGGGAAAGCCTTGAATTTTGAAGAAATTAGAAGTAATTAAAAGACACCTCCGAAGTCGGGAAAGCTCATTTCCCGCCTTCTAGGAATCAAAATTTTCCCGGGGGGAGAACCCCCGACCCCCTTTCTTTTTAGGATGTATTGATTCATGAAAAAAAAATTCGTATCCAACTACTGTACTCAATTTTTTTTTTATGTATGTATACACACATAAGGCCTATTTACTGTAATAACAAGTGGAAAATTTACCTGACAGTTTTCAAGAGAGGAAACCTTCAATTTTGAAGAACTTAAATTAAAATCGCTAAAACATACTTCAGAAATCGGGAAAGCTCATTTCCCATCATTTAGAAATTAACATTTTCCTGGCAAGAACCCCAACCTCCCTTTTCTCTTTGGGTTCATTGATACATTATAATAATTTTCAAGAGGGGAAAACCTTGAATTTTGAAGAACTTAAAAGTCGGGAAAGCTCATTTCCCGCCTTCTAGGAATCAAAATTTTCCCGGGGAAGAAACCCAGGACCTCCCCACTTTTTTTTTTTTGGATTTATGGATTCATGGAAAAAAAATCGTATGCAACTACTCAATTTTTTTTTATGTATGTATACACACATAAGGCCTAGGCCTATCTACTGTAATAACAATTGGATAAATTTACCTGACCGTTTTTAAGAGGGGAAAATCTTGAATTTTGAAGAACTTAAAAGTAATTAAATGACACCTCAGCAGTCGGGAAACTCATTTCCCGGTTTCTAGGTATCAAAATTTTCCCGGGGCATATCCCCCGGACCCTCCTTTCTTTTTGGGATTTATGGATTCATGGAAAAAAAATCGTATGCAACTACTCAATTTTTTTTATGTATGTATACACATATAAGGCCTACGCCTATCTACTGTAATAACAATGGGATAAATTTACCTGACCGTTTTCAAGAGGGAAAAATCTTGAATTTTGAAGAACTTAAAAGTAATTAAAAGACACCTCAGCAGTCGGGAAACTCATTTCCCGGTTTCTAGGTATCAAAATTTTCCCGGGGCAGATCCCCCGGACCCCCTTTCTTTTTGGGATTTATGGATTCATGGAAAAAAATCGTATGCAACTACTCAATTTTTTTTATGTATGTATACACATAATAAGGCCTACGCATATCTACTGTAATAACAATGGGATAAATTTACCTGACCGTTTTCAAGAGGGGAAAATCTTGAATTTTGAAGAATTTAAAAGTAATTAAAAGACACCTCAGCAGTCATGAAAACTCATTTCCCGCATTCTAGGAATCAAAATTTTCCCGGACCCCCTTTCTTTTTGGGATTTATGGATTCATGGGAAAAAATCGTATGCAACTACTCATATTTTTTTAATGTATGTATACACACATAAGGCCTATTTCCTGCAATAACAATGGGAAAAAATTACCTGACCGTTTTCAAGAGGGGATAACCTTGAATTTTGAAGAACTTAAATGTAATTAAGACACCTCAGAAGTCGAAAAAGCTCATTTCCCGCCATCTATGAATCAAAATTTTCCCCCGGACCCCCCTCCCCTTTCTTTGGAGCTTATCAATTCATTAAAAAAAGAATACGTATGCAACTACTCATTTTTTTTTTATGTATGTATACACACATAACAG